CAGAATGAGGTTGATATTGCTCACCTTACTCTTGGTTGTTGCCGTCAATGGAGGTATCATCGACAAACTGAAAGGTATTTTCACTGGAGAAGGAAGTTTAGGTCAAAAGCTGAAGAATGCAACCACTGTCGGATTAGAAAAGGTGAGATTGGATTAATATCTACCATTGCTTGAAACTGTATAATTTTTAAGCTCTTCCTTCCAGTTCTAGCAAACTCACGAGCACCTTTTAGGCTTAATCAGAATTACTTACCTTTTCCAAGTTTGCAATTACAGTTATTCGGAAACACGGGAGTCCGCAAGATTCCGTGATAAGATCAGAAACATGACGGAATAAAGTGGTGAAAACGTTGGAGCTAACACCAAAAATGATGAGTCACTCCAAGAAAGACTGAAGGTTACTGTAACTTTTTACCTTACAATGAACTCTTACGAAGTAAGCGCATTACTCTTATGAATCTAAGCGATTCACGTATTCGCAGATGTAGATAATCTTGTTTAATATTCATTGGGTGTGTTGACCCATTGCATTAGCAAACCATATGGCATCAACGGAAACTTACAGAAATGGCGGCCCATCAAGACAGATAAAGTCGGTCAGAATGGTGACTCTATTACCGAAGTCAACGAGAACAGTCATGTTGACAAGGTACTCTACCAAGGCGACGTGGTTCTGACAGAGTACGTTAGCAACACAACGAAAACCATCAAGATCTAATCAGTGTCGTTGAAGGGAGCAAGCTGAGGAGATCGTTGAAGACATAGAAGACGAGGTGGCTGGTGCAAATCGTACAAAACGTCAAGCGTTCAAGGATCATAGATATCCGAAAATGTTGTGGTCACAAGGAGTAAATTACCACTTCAGCAGCATGGCTGGTGGGTACAGGGCTGCTGTAGTAGTTATTTAGCCTGCAAATAAACTACAGAACTTCATTATAGATGAGAAAATGCGACGTGCTTTCGTCAAAGGTGCCAAGCTCTGGGAAAAGGATACCTGCATCAATTTTACGAAAAATCCTTTCGGTAAGAAGAAATATCAATTTGGTTGAGTCCCCGTATTATCCTATCTCGTTTTGGGATACATGGACTGTAAGAGTAGTTTTCATGGACGCGTTGAACCCTTCACAAAGATTTTGATTTGTATGTGGAGGAGGGGAGAGAGAAATGCCAAAAAGGCCCTTCTCTGATGCGGTTTCATCAGCAGAGTTATCACGCACAGTGAGGTGAGATAGATAAAAGTCCTGCATCCGAATACTTCTGGAATTCTTTTCAACAACAATTAAAAGCAAACTTTTGGTCTCATTTTCTCCAAGTCTAAGATAAAAAGCCATCCGTACTCGTAGACAAGAAATTCCACTTTAATTGCTACAGCCTCAAATATTCATGTAATTTCCTCTATCGATTTGATGAACACCCAGAACGCCTTCTTAGAGACCCTAGCTCACACCGTTTCGTACATTTGAACCAGAACACCGTTTAGAGCACGATCCCAATGCACTACTGCCTCGAATGTTGACAAGATGACATGGATGATTGATATGAGCAGGAGATCCTGGAAGCAAGAAGACGAGAAGACTCTCGTTCCCGTAGAAATCACATTCGCAGAAAACTTGAAAAAATGGCCAGTCAAGAACATCTGACTACTGTACGTCACCGATTGTGAGCAGAGCTTAGAGAGAGTGTGCATTGAGATGAAAAAGTCAGCGATCTCACTCGAATTGCTTTCCGAAGAGTAGCTTGTTTTCAGAGAACGTGCCGAGGATACATATTTTAAATCGCTTCAGTTGTGCGTCTGTAATTTTTTCATCAAGAAATTTAGTTAAAGAATACGATTTGCGTTGGTCAGATGCGGGCTTATAGCTACGCGTTGCCACACGAAGAACTCGAAGCCTTCGAATGAAATCGACGACAAGTTGATAACGTTATCATAAAGTACGCCCGCATTGCAACTCTTCCGATTGCGATGCGTGGTGCGTGCATGAGAGAAAAAGTGGTTTTTGCGTCCCTGCACCTGGAAAACATATCCGCTCATTAAGTCTCCACCCAATTCACTAGTAAGTTTCCACTCATCCCTGTAAGTTCTATCGCAAGCACCTCCTTCGAGTGTAAGTGTGTTTGAAATGGTACGAGAAAGAAGAAATAAAAAGTGCCTCCCCTCCTTCCACCCTTCCATTCACGTATGGTGTGCGGTAGCACCCTTGTAGGGTGGATTTCAACACTGAGGGATTTATATCATACCAGCCATTCTGACTTTGAGTTTTCCAAAATTGTTTTCCAAACCTTAGAAACCGCTCAAAATTCTAATGTTCTAGCTCAAGACCGAATTTTGGTGTTCCCGGAGGATGGATGTTGGTCGTACGTAGGAAAACTTGGTGGTGAACAGAAACTGTCATTGGGAAGAGGTTGTGAAACAACATCTATTGCTGCGCATGAGATCGGCCATGCACTTGGATTCTTCCATACTATGTCTCGTTACGATCGTGACGACTTCATCACCATTAACAAGTATAATATTAAAGTAAGTAGTTGGCTGTAATTCAACCAACATTTTTCCATGATACATTGTACTATGACGATGAGAACTTCTGAAAAGTGGTACATAAAATGACGGTGGCCATTTTATGTGAATTGGCTGAGTCAGTTCAATAAAGAGACACCGAGAACAAATGACAATTATGGCATGACGTACGACTACGGTAGCATTATGCACTACGGCTGTACTAGGTAGGTTTCATGTAGTATTATCAAGCCGTCGTTCCAACTCATAAATACGTTGTGTAAATCATCCGATTGAATCATAGTGATGAGTTTTTGTTGCTATCTATACCACGTGTGTGCTATGGAAAATGACTAGATCCAAGTATAGTATGTAAACACTTATTATTAGTGCATCATTCAACAATAAGCCGACAATGGTTCCGTTTGATGTCGACTATCAGCAAACCCTTGGATCTCCATTCATTTCGTTCATCGAACTTTCCATGCTCAACGAACACTACAAATGCAAAGGTGTGCATCTACTAACAACGTAATAACATAATCCGTTCATTTGCGATCTTCGCTTGAATTATTCGAGAAACTCGCCCGCCGCTCCAATCTGCCGGCATACGAATTGTTTTGTATTGCATTGTCATATGCTAGCCCGATCTCCATATACATTCCATGCGTGCAGATTTTTTCCGATGCATAGCCTGCGTCATCAAGTA